AACACAATTATATTTCACGTATGTACTTATTTAAAAAGTAGTATTGTGCTTCTAGAAATCAAAGTCTTATTACTAGCCTATAATATACTGAAACAAATATTCATTAATAAAGACAGTGAATGTTTCTTAAAGTACTGCAAAAATAACAATTCATATTAATATTTAATTAGCATTTATTGATACGTGGAAAAGAGCAATTTATTTAATTATTCCTTTTATGTCTATCTTTTTTTAATACCATTCTTTTAATTCCACAAAAATAAATTCTACAATAAATACACATGTAGGTATGTCACAAACTTCAACTTTAGGGCAAAATGTCTAAATGTTTATTACACTTGATACAATGTACTTGCGAAATATCGCTTTTTTACTCTTTTTAAACCAACTTTACAATATTCCTGTATTAACAAAAATACATCTAATTTCCTCAATATCCAATCAAAAAATTTATCTACCCAGTTTGTACTACATCGAATTTCGTTATAGATGAACAATACAACAATTGATAGGTTTTTAAACATATATACGTGTGTAGTGTGTTAGTTATTGAATGCATTCTTTTAACAAATCTTAAATAAATAACTATCGTCCAAGGTAAAAAAAACAAAACTACACGGCAAGAAAGTTTAAAAAACGTAATATTTACGTATATGTTTAAAAGTTGCTTCTAAAAATATATAAGCAATAGACATTTTTAAACTGCAAATCTAATTCAATAAAGTATATTCACTACGTATTATAAAAAATAAATGTGTGACTCTTTTATTGCAAATTATTAAAGTAATTAATATTTTATTGTATTTGTAAGCTATTTCTCAAAAGCTGTTATAGAACGATAACGATTTTTTTTATGTACAAGCACTTAGAACAATTTGTAGGAGATTCGAATATCGGAAAATTTCCCTACTTTATGCTTAAAACGATAACTTACGATGAATTTTGAAATCGCACAAAGAAATTGTCATTTTTAACGCTTTTTAATAAGCCAAACAACACTTTTTAAACATCAAGTAAAATACTAACTATAATAATTGTTAATGCGCAAGTTGATCTTTTAACTTACTTGTGAAAAGAGGATTAGATAAGTATTAGATTTTCTTATTCTTCTTATATGAAACGTTAATTCGTAAGTGAATGTGTTTTCATATATACGAAAACTATTTTCTTCATTTTCAAAAAAGTCCGAAACATCAAAAACGATCTTTTCATTTTCTTTCATATACTGCGCTTTATTACTTATATTTTTTTATTCCATTCGCAACTATCGACACACGATTACATAACAAACATCTGTACAAATGCTGACTAGTTTTTCTATTAAAATGCTTAGTTCAAGTTGGTTCTTATAGCATACGATCAGGTACTTTGTCATAGATTGCAAATTATGCGTGGTTATTTCATTAAATGTTATCATTACATACTATTTATTAAACTCTTCTTTACAATAAACAGGGTGTCGAACGAAATTAAACAAGCACCACTGTTCACCTAGAACTCCTTTTATTTTTTATTCCAAGCATTGCCTTTACCTTTTTTATTTCAATAAGTGAAACGTACGTTTATTTCTATTTTTAAAATGCATAATAAAAAAATATTATTTTCAAGAAGTATGTTTATAGAAATATCTGACTGATTCTAAAAAACATTTTTTTTGGTTGAACTATTTCAAAATTTACAATTATAATTCAAAATTACTGCTGCCTAATAATATCGTTAGACACCCCGTATAAGTGTAGACCATTTTCAACCTGAATATTAGGAATGATGTTGAAAGACAAAACCCATATCTGCATATCTTATCAGAGGCAGAGCATTTAGATAAATAGATCTCTTTTTCTCCATAATTTTTAAAAATGTTAGTACGTATAATACATAAAATAACATTCTTCATTACAACACTTTCATTAATAACATCTAGATTCGATTTAGGTGTTTGTTAAAGAAGTATCAAAAAATAATTGTTAAGTTTCATATACGTTAAACGTGTGAAATCTTTCCTATGAGAATTTAATGCAAAAAGTAAATAACAGGCAATCACCAGAGAAGAAAAACGCAAATCTAATGTAATCACTTATGTGTATTATACCAGTATATAGCTTTTTATTCTTCAATATGAAATAAATTCTTGTTCCAATTATAATTTCAATTTATCGTATTTTTGTACCGATGGAGGGTTTATTACTTTTATAAATAATTGATAAATTAATGAAGTAACTTCTGAAAATGCCTGTTCCTCTAAATTTAAATTAAAACGTCTTTATTTAACTGTCAAAACTGACAAGAACAAAAAAAAGATGTACAAACGAATTATACACGTTACTTAAATCGTTATAGCATAAATATACATATGCATACGTATTTTTATTATCTCACTTTTTAGAAAGTAAGTAAACCTCTTCCTCAAATATTCGTTATTAAAAACTACCTTTATGTTATCTTTGATGAATGATGGTAAAGGTCCTCTATACTATTTGTATATTGATTTTCTAAAATAATGTGCGACAACCTTACACGATTTTTACTTAAGGGATTTTTAAAGTCAACATCTGTTTCGACTTTTTAGGAACTACAGTCATAATAAATTTTAAAGGAGCAAAACATCAAATCTCCAAAATGTATAAACTTGAGAGACGATGATCATTTTGTTGCTTATCAATTTAATTAGTTAGATTAAGTACAGCGATAATTGCAATTTACATTGTCCGTAAACAAACATGTATTTATAGTAGAATGAAGATTCGGGCTATAGGGCCGTGGTCTAAGTGAACCATTCTGTCCAGACTTTTCGTCAGCTACTGCGGGTGCATCCTCAGTGGTAATGCTGCGTTGACAACGTTCACTGAGGATGTCAGTTGCAGTAGCTGACGAAACGTCTGGACAGAATAGTTCACTTAGACCACGGCCCTATATACCGAATCTTTATTCTACTATAGATTCCGGCTGTGAAAGCCTTTGTTCTTATAAACAGGTATTTGTTTTTATTTATTTAAAATCTGTTATCACAAATACGAAATGATAATGTTACCCAAATTCTTTGGCCAAATGATTCAGTCTTATTTTTGGTAACTTTGTATATCTAACGACGGAACTGAATTTATCGTTTCTTTTATTTTAATGAGATTTATAAAAAATAATACTGGATCGTGGTATGGTATTATTTTACGTCATATACTCAATATCTTGTTCTATAAATAGTTTTGCTCCTTTTTGTTTTTCACATTCTAACGATATTTTTCTTTTCATTGCAACTCACGCCAGCATATCCTACTACATCTAATTAGCTACCGTTTCTTTTTTGTGGCTGCGAATAATCGAACAACACTTTCTCGCATTGACTAACAAAAAAATGCACACAAATAAATAAACCAATTTCAAAACTCGTAAAGCTTAAACGATATTTTCACAGGAAAAAAATGCGACGAGCCCACGTCTTGGGCATTAAGAGTCGTTCTAAAAACAGGTACTTAATAAAAAACAATATTTTATTTGACAAATCATATTTGCATTATCTTATCGACCGTATGCTAGAAAAGCTTTAATAAATGGAGGAACTCAAATAAAAAATACAACATTCCCACTCTTCTTGCAATTATTTCTTATACATACTTATTTTTCGATTGTTAATTATCACTCGTTTTGGACAAGAAGATATGGTTCCCTTTCATTTTTCCTTTTTTACATTCTTTGTAAATATATGTAGTTATATAACACTTTGTTAACAATCATCGCTAATTAGCGCATATATTATCACAGATCAGATGTTTAAATTATTTCACGATTTTAACGCATGACTTTGGGAGGGTGTTGGAAATTTCGATTCAACAATTTACTTCTTATTAAATTCAACTGAGTAATTTTTTTCTCAGTATCTTTTAATATTGCATTGAGAGCAAAAACGCATACAAAAACATTAAATTAAAAAATCATGAAAATAAACTTTTAGGACTCTTGGTCTTCATTTGGGACAATATCGTAGGGTTTTAATAATTTGGTCGAAATATCCAAGCCCATTAGAACGTTAAAAAGTCCAGAAACACCAATAGCAAGTGAAATACTTTTTGTAATTGTAATTTTATAATAATTTGCGGCGTTTCTAAACTCTCGCGTTGGTATTATATTTATTATTAAATTGTATATTTAGAAATAAGAAACCAGTGTAAAACGTATAATATTCGCATATTCATTTTTAATTTTTTTCTTTCTGATGTGTAACATCTTACAGCTCGGGTTTGGGACTAATTTCGTGCGACGGAAACGCGTTACAGAAAGTATTACCGGCATAACAGAAAGAAAAAAATGTAAATAAAAAAAGATCTGGCTGTCGACCGTTCGTTGTAATAATTCTAAGTACTAACCTTGTATAAAATATAAATTAAATAATTTTGTGTTGCATTAAAACAAACTTTTCATAAAAAAAAGTATTATTATGTGCTATCACATCAACCATTACCCGACTCTAATATTTTGATAAAACTTTTGCACTTAACCGTGATTTGATGTTACACATCACTAGCGACTACAGTAAGACTGGTATACTTTATTCTTTTTCGTTTTAACACTCGTTTCACGTAAAACGATATTAATAATTAATAAAGATAATAATAATGTCTGGTGTTAGTAACCACTAGTTATGCTCTTAAATATGGCTCTTTAAAATATATGTACATCTCTCCCTATATATATATACAGATTATTATTGCACCAATTTGTTCAGACAGTACACATGGTACATGGCCATAAAGAACGAGCGATCGCAAAACGAAACGCGAAAAAAATACATGTATGTATATGTCATATAAAAAATGAAAACAGAAAAAACAGAGACGAATCAGGAACATTATTCAACAATTTTTCTATCCGTTCTAAAACTTAAACTAATTTCAACCTGGTTTTTATCATATATCATACGTTATTTTACTTTATTTTATTAATAGCGTGATTGAAAATTATTTAAATTATGATACAAGGATGTTTTCTTTTCTTGTAGTAGTGCATATTAGAAAAGTTTTTATTTAATGCATGACGAATCAGTATTAAACGTAAATAAATTATTTAAGTTATACGTATGTATAATAAACGAATGTAAACAACAACATAAACTTATTAAAGTTCTTACTCGCGTGTGCATGTTAATGTATATATATATATATATATTTATATATCATGTGATATTGGTCGTTTGAAATTTAATACTTAGCTTATAAGTGGAGATCAGCCAACACCTTTGGCTGGAGGTATTCGTCTGAATCACCGTCTGTTGGATTGCATATCACAGGATGTAGTTCACTCGATTTCAAAGGAGCCCATGGTCTATCAAATATCTTGGACATCTCCTAAAAATATACATAATTAATTAGAAATACGTCAATTATTAAAAAACTGACTACTAAAGAGCGCACTTCGTTCACAGATAACATTACTATCAGGAGCGTACTTAGGACATTAATGTAAGCTAGTGTTTATGACACATTGAGGGGTGTGCGAGTACCTCGCAATTCATGATTTGGCTTATCATTTCCAATTTCGTGACCTACGTTTTAATACACACTAAGTTAATTCCCATTTTGGGACCCACTAAATACTACATTACTTTTCCAAACAGTTTATGTGAAACTTAAATTACGTGCGACACTGATTACAGCTGCTTCGTAATTTCTATTTTGAAAGTTTTTGGGTAAAAATTTCGATAATGATTTTCCTTTTTAGCCTTTTAAATATATACATTACTAAACAAATTAGTACTATATTTTATGTACATTAAATTATCACAATAAATTAATGTATACTTTCTTTTCATATTTAGCTGTAACAGTAATATAATGTTAATATTATCATTTCTATGATTTATTTTTGTTTTTATACGGAGTTTTGTACAAATATTTTATGTACATTGATTTATTCATTCGAAAATTGCACCTCACCATGAAAACGTAACCCGCAATACAACTGCTGTTAAGTCTAATAAAATCAACCATTATGTTCCAGATGCCTCCCTACTTTGGCCTGTACTCCGTCAACTGATGGCCCTGGCAGATAAGTACACGAGTATTTTTATGTCAATTAGCGGCACTGACCATCAATGAAGTTATTTTTTTATATTAACTGTTAAGATTGTCGACCTAAGTACGCACTTTAAATTTGGGAACAACGTGCGGTCTTTACTGATTATTTATTCAATTCGTACTTCGATCAAATTTGTAGGAATTTTACAGCCTTCATTTGAAATAATATCTTCACTAGCCACTTCTAAGTTCTTCAGTGTATTTCCTCTTAATCTAGCTATGGCAACAAGATCTTCTTCATAATACTTATAACCTGGGGTACAACAAAAATAAGATTAAAAAATAGTATTTTACCAAATAGAAAATATTTCATTTTAATCTTTTTACCACCTACCTAATAGAACAACCTCTTCCAACTTTGTGCACAGCCAGGCAGCCATTACAAGTGGATCTGGTTCGTTTATTTCAGCATCCCTGAAGCGATTTACCAAATCCCAAGTACCTTCTAAGTCAGGAGAACGGGAATCAACCCACATTATACTCCGTAGAGTTTGGGGATACCAGGAAGAGAGTAAATTCAATACATCTACATTTATCTAAAATAAATAGAACATAAAAAAAAACAAAAACCGTTTTTATGGCTACTGATGTAATCACTAGGTATGTCATACCTTTTAAAAGGAAAAAAAGAGAATTACTTGACATTTTTATTTAATTGTTTAACTGGAACATTAAATATTTGCATAAGCTACTAATGTAGCATTTTCTACAGTAAAATTAATAAAATTAATTCTTCAACTTACATGTTCACAAAAGAATACTTTTAAGTGTGTTAGTGGCATTTGTATTTGCAAAATACCATTTTCCATGTGAAATACTTCTTCATATGCATGAATTAATGTTAATCTAAATTCACAAGTCGGGTGGACTTGCTTAAATTTTGCCCAAGCTTCATTAGAAGTCCCTGGATGACCAAACCAAACCCCATGCACATGAACAATTAAACGCTTCAAATTTTCAGCGCCATTCAGTGTATCCAAAACATCATCACAGAGAGCATCATAGTCTATACTTAATATCTTTAAAATTAAAAGAAAATATTAAAAATATATAAGCAATAATTGAAAAGTATTGATATAAATAAGTACCTTCAAATTTCTAAATGCTGAAAACAACACAGCATCAACTTCACATATCAGGTAATTACTTGGATCATCTTTAACTGATGCAAGCCCCAAAATACTGACTTGTTCAGGGCGAGTGTTACTTAACCTTTCTAAATATTGTGGAACAAATTGGCAAAGCTCTTCACAACCCCCAATGCTAAATTTCTCCAAAGGAAAGTTACAAAAGATTTTTATTATTTCTGATAAATTAGAAAAATAATTAAGCCTAAAAAGTAAGTATAATGAAAATAGAAACATTTGATTTATAAAAAACAGTATATTTACGTATCAAAACAGTACTCCACAGGCTCCACTAGTCGGCAATGAGATGGTTCAAGCATAAGAGATTTAAGCTTAGTGTTGGTACTTAAATTTTGTAAAAGAGCTGTAAACTCAGTCATGCAAACCGGTGTTAAGGAATCAAACTTGATGACAGCATTTTTAACAAGACTACTTAGAGTTCTGCTTAGATATTTAGTTTTCTCATGTTGTCCTGCTTGAATCGTAAATGTAAACTCATTCCAAAAACTTAAAATTATGTAATTAATATACATGAATTATCATCATCAAATAAAATTGAAAACTTACTTGGGATGGAAAATAACATGTCTCCAGTTACGACACACACTTGAGGCATTAATTCTATCTTTCTGACTTAAAAAACTGAATACATCATATAAGATAACGCTAGGTAACTGAGCCCAATTGCCTGACGAAACTACCTGATCTGTTTTTGATTTTTTTGCTTTAGGCCATCCCACCAAACAGCCACAATTATCGTTTCCCATACCTGCCAAGAAAAAATATATTACTTAGTAATTTACACCATTCCACACCACTTCTACTACATATGTACTTTGTGTAGTCTTTCTTGATTGTGAACGCAATTCCATTGTATCTACTTAAATTTTTAAATACTATCTAAAGTTTCGATTTTGATATGAAAAATTGTAAAGAACGAATAAACGAGTGAAAATTGAAATTGCAGAAGATACAAAAAGCAAATTGACAAACGAAATTGCCGTTTAATAAATGTCAACCTTGACAGAAAACAGCTGTTTGTTCAAAATCATGTTATGAACACTACTTAGAAATAAAATGTAAATCAAAAGAAATATATCGATTACTTACTTTTCTTTGTTCAATATTTTCCTGATTTAAACATTAAAAAAATATAATTTTGTTAACAATCTTTTTTCTTTTCTTCTATAACATTTTTTAATACAATTCTTAACTTTTTAACTTTCTTGTTACATTACTGTTTTTTTCTCATTCTTTTCTAAACTACACATTAACACATATGACATATGTATCAATAATTGTTCCCAGCCCAGTTGTAACCAGCTGTCCAAACATCAAGAATTAACGAATGGCGCATGTCTAATAATGAAAAAGTGCCTAATACTGCTATAATTTATTGGTATTGTACCTACCTACTTCGTCATATTTTTTTTCTTCTACACATTTTAGATAAAATTCAGATACAACAATTATTATTAATTTTATTACTACAATTACAAAAATTAACTGTTTATTATGTTTACTTTAGGGAATTTTAACTAAAATTTGTTATAAAATCAAAGACATCGGCAACATAGGTGTAGCCACCCTTAATCGTTTAGGGGCTTCGAACCCTCCCACTATGACTTGGATTGCTTAGAAATAACTGAGCACTGAAAAGATAATCTCATTTTAGGCCAATTCGCGCATGACGTCACTCTGTGACAAACTCCAGCATTTTAAATTAAGGGCTTCTGTTAAGGGCTCCGTAAAATTTTTGAAATAGTGTTTTCCACAATGAAAAATAGTTTCAAACATTTAAGATCTGAATATTTTTAAACTTATCAAATAACAGGGATGTTACGTCATAGGTACCTGTATAGCGCGGAAACCACGCCATAACGTACTTTTTCAGTTTTGAAAGATTAAAAACTACGGTGACGTGTTATCCATATCTCAATAATCAAGTAAAGTTAGTAAGGAGGCAAGATGGGGAATGCTAAAAATATAAAGAAGGTTTAAACAATCCCCTTCTCCACTTTCTATTAGCCTCGATCCAACCTTACAATTAGATGAAATATTTGCGGGATGGTAAATTTATCGATATCACGCAAATAGGTATTTCGTGCAAGAAATATATACAGAATTACAACTTTTGAACATACCTCCTTGGCCTTCCCCCCAACCATAGGTCTATCAGAATGCAATTCAATAAAAGGTGGAGGATACAAGAGGAGGGGTTGTTTAAACCTTGTACATATTCTTAACACACCTCCTCCCTCTTCCATAACCTTACTTGAATGATTTGCGAGATAACGATAAATTTGCCCTTGTAAAATTGGATCGAGGGTTGTTTAAACCTTGTACGTGTTTTTAACAATCCCTCTCCCTCACCACTTAACTTAACCTTACTTAAATGATTTGCGAGATATCGATAAATAATTAATGGTAGAAGGCTTTACTTGTTGAAACTCCATAATCAATTAAAGGAAACGAAAGTAAAAGTACCATTATCAAATCACTAGTAAGCAATACGATAAAATCAATTCACACCGATTACAGCAAAAAGTTCACGTTTTTAGTCATACCGGAAATAACACTGCGACCTCCAGGACAACCAATAAACTTAAGTCGTCTTCAGTTACCTAATTTACTGCTTGCCGATCCTTCTTTCCACGTTCCGACGGAAGTAGAAGTTCTTTTAGGAATGGAAGTATCCTACAAATATTAGGAAATTGCGAAGCAGTACTTCAAAATTCCCAACTTGGATGGCTTTTTGGAGGACGAGCTTTCACCGAAAATTGCATCATACAACAATCTCTTTGTCGTCTCAATGTGGACAATCTTAATCAAGCAATCTCCAAAATCTGGGAAATTGAAGAGGGGTCTGCAATAATATTCAAATCAACAGAAGAAAAGTCTTGCGCGACACATTTTAATGAACATGTAGAAAGGGATGATACCGGGAAATTAATTGTGAAGCTTCCATTCGAAGAAAATGTAAGTGATCTTGGAGAATCATACCTAACAGAGTTACGCAAATTCTATTCGTTAGAAAAATAGTTGAAGTCAAACCCTGAAAGTAATATGTTAATTTTATGAACGAATACCCCAGCTTAGGACATATGGAAGTAATTAAGAAGCATGACAAACAAAGGAAAGGCTACTATCTACCACATCACCCAGTAATAAAAGACAGTTCAACAACCAAGATGAGGCTAGGTTTTGATGAATCAGTCAAGACTCAATGATATTTTACTAACTGGCTCAACACTTCTGGACAACACATTTATGCTCTTAGTAAGGTATCCATCATTTCCTATCGTTTTCTCGGCAGACATCGAGAAAATGTATCGGCAGATATTGATAGATCCTACAGTTTGCGCTTACTAACCAATTCTGTGGCGAGAAAATCCTGAAGACAAATTAAAAAAACATTCGTATTAAAGACTGTAACTTACGGATTAAAATCTTCTCCTCATGAAGCCGTTGAATCATAGCAAACTCTAGCCAAACTGCACGAGTCGTCACATCCTAGAGCAGCAGCGGCCGTATTATGCGATTTTTACGTAGAAGATTTGATTTCAGGAGCCCAAACATATGAAGAAACGATGTTGCTACGTCACGAATTAATCAAGCTATTAAGACTTTGAGGATTTAATCTAAGGCAGTGGTCATCTTACAATCCAAGATTAATAGAATCATTATCAAAAACAGATGTCAATAAAAAGTTATTCTTAGACGCCAGCAGTACTTTGAAAACACTAAATATTCACTGGAATTCAGAAACTGATAACTTTGTCCATTCAGTGAATAATCGCGAATTCACTAGGAGCCAACTTACTTACAGAGGATTCATTCCCCTATAGCCAGATTATTTGATCCGCTAGGTCTACTAGATCCCGCAATTATTCAGGCAAAACTCATCATGCAGCACCTGTGGCAAGAAAAAACGGATTGAGATGCTTACCAAATCATATATACAACGAATGGCAAGAGTATGTGAAAACTCTGCAGGAATTAAACCAAATTAGTATACTTAGATGCATTTTGTTTTCGAATTCAACGTCCACGGCCAACGTGGCAGCAAGTTTCTTCCTGTACCCAACTACTAAAATCGTTATGGGCTCAGTGGGACTCAATGGTTTTGGAGGACGGCATCTTCAAGCGTGTTGTTGAAAGTCCAGATGGAGAGGAAGATAGGAAGTAACTGGTTATTCCTCGAAACAAGGTTAGAGAGGTGTTGCAGTATCTTCATGATGGATCATCTGGTGGCCATTTTGGAGTGAATAAGACGCTTGGGTAAGTTCGAGAGCGATTTTATTGGGTGAACTGTAAGGACGATGTCAAGAATTGGTGTAAGAAGTGTACCACCTGTGCCGCAAGTAATGAACCACAGAAAAGGCTAAAAGCACCAATGCGTCAATACAATGTCGGTGTGCCCTTTGAACGAATCGCAATCGATGTGGCGGGTCCATTCCCAGAGTCCGAGAAAGGTAACAAGTACATCTTGGTCGTTATGGACTATTTTACCAAGTGGGTTGAAGCATATGCCTTTCCGAACCAGGAGTCGGAAACCATAGTTGAGGAATTGGTGAAAGAATTGATCAGTCGTTTTGGGTGCCCTTGGAGTTGCACTCAAACTAAGGGAAGAATTTCGAATCGGCTATATTCCGTAGAATATGCGAGCTCCTAGGAATAAAGAAAAGTCGAACCACTCCACTCCATCCACAAGCGGACGGCATGGTTGAACGAATGAACCGGAACTTGATTAAATATCTCTCCAAGGTAATGTCTGACCACCAAAGAGACTAGGACCGCTATTTGCCTTTATTCTTAATGGCATACCGTTCATCTGCCCACGAAACACCTGCCAGTGTCCTTTTTGGAAGGGAGTTACGACTACCTTATGACCTCAAATTCGGCTGTAAACCAAGAGATGACTTGGCTGAAGAAGATTGTGTTACTAACATCCAAAGAAAGCTTAACGATATCCACGAGTCGGTTGGTCTGCATGCGCAGATTGCTAGTGACGAGATTAAAGAAAACTACGACATCAAGACTACAGCAGGTGGTTACCAAACTAAAGATCTTGTTTGGTTGTATAATCCTCGTCGTCGCCGTGGACTATCACCTAAGTTCCAACAGAATTGAGAAGGACCCTATGAGATAGCGAAGAGGATTAACGACGTGATCTACCGAATTAAGAAAGTTCCAAATGGGAAGCCGAAGGTAGTCCATTTTAATCGCTTGGCTCCATTCGCCGGTGCAAATGAAGAGGAGGCGCGGGCCAGATTATTAAGAACTATTCCTTCCGAGCCCACATTCGAAGAGTTCATGAAGGAAGGCCCCCATGTTAACAGGAGATTTGGGGTGACGCAAGAAATCCGACGAGACCTCTTTGCTATATCCAAGGAATATTCTCTGGCCCATTGCGTTTCAAAGGATCTCAGAATGAGCCGTGGTATC